CATAAGCCTGACACATGAAGTAGATAAACTATTGATCATGTCCTAATCAACCTGCACAAACCAGATGCCTCCTCTTCCAGATCATGAGTAGGTTCTAAACAAAAAGTATTCATAATATTTTTGTTCAACACCCAAAGCCTCTGTTCTTCAACTGGTAGTTGCATACCTGCTGAAGTAATGTTCTAACATCCCATAAAACATCAGTTCCTTCTTCTTGGAACACACCATCCTTGACAGTCTTCAAGGTCAATATGCAGATGTATATCAGTATCATTGATCAATTGATTCTCATCAACCTTATTGATAAATGTCTTTATGAGTGGACTTGAGGAAAATCTCAAGTATCTTTGACACTTTTAATAAGGTTGAAAATGTCAGCATATATTCTGTTGAGGGTAACAACCCTAGTATCTTTCCCATACTTTCAGGGTTATATCAGAAAACATGCAGCAGAATATAACAAAATCCTCAACAATATTCAGACACAATGCTTAAATCACTATCCTAGGATTGAAGAAATAAACCCTACATACAACAGCTTCCCACTAAGTTGCAGGCCAACCAAGAACAATACCTGTCACATATAACCAATGATCCTTGCCAAGAGATCATCCATACAGTAGTGTGAATTGTCCAAGTTCATACCTCTTTTCGGTAAATACTTTCTTCCTTGCCCATGACCAGAAAGTACCTTCCCAGGATCTCACCCAGAGAAGAACATGATGCCTGCCCTAATACCAATTGAAATTCTGGTACAACAGACTCATATGTCCTACAAGGATGTAGAGACATTTGATCTAACATAAACTCACATGCAAAATAGTACTGAAAAGATAAAGAACACACCATAATTGTTTACCCAGTTCGGTGTACAACAACACCTACTCTGAGGGCTACCAAGCCAGGAATGAAGTCCACTATCAACAATATCAATTTGCAGACCTTACAACCAACACACCCGTTGAAGATCTACACACTTAATCACTACCCAATGACCCTTCTACGTAGGTCCTCCATAGATATGGAATATCCCCATACCACTTCCAATCATGTCAATGGTATCTAACAGTCAACACCTCAGTCACTGTATCAACGGTCCTTCACCAAAATTCTGATCACATAGATAGAAGTTTGGAAGACACACTTCCATGACAACCTAGCTAAGTCTGCAAGCCACACTCCACTGTTTGTTAGCTTTGCTCCTAACTAATAACACATCCTGGAGTTGCTTCAAAGCTTCCTCCAAGAAGAATACACCTCTTACCTACAAGCTTCGAGGTGAACATGGTAACCTTCCCACAACCCGAGAGGTTTACCTTGACAAAACCCTAGAATTCTACATCTTGAGCCGTGTATTTTCTAGGTTACAAAAACCTTCTATTTATAACATGTTACCCAACTGGTTTTGGGCCTTCAATCATAGCAAATCAGCTGTAACAAACTACATAAACTTCTTCCCCAAGAAAAGTCTTCAATCTTTACTTTCCTAAATAATCTCCTTATTTAGAAAGTCTTCATTCTCCTTGATTCCTGATTGAATTTTCTAGACCTTTAAATATGCATCACATAGGATGCATAATATTCTCCTGAATATTCTGCCAAAGTTGAGAACAAACTGAATCTCATTAATCTAGCTCAGCAGGCATGATGTCAAGACATCTTCTTCGACATGTTGTTTCAGTTGTTGAAAAAGTTCAATACAACATGTTATGATATTATAATAGGATTTCTTGTTGTACCTGTTCTTCTTATCCTATTCTTTATTGCTGCTATTATTTGTTTTACAAAAAATTAAGCCAATCCTAAAACAAGACAACTAACATAATAAATTAACAATAAATGTATGAGGTGTATATAACAATGGCTGGAAATTGTTTTCAAAAAACCATATTAATTTGGACCACAATATGATAAACAACTTGAAATAAAACATAAATAAGAACTTGAAATTTCTAAAAGAACTTGGAATACGACATTGTTATCTTAAGTTGAAATGTATTAAAAAGAGAATTTAGATGATACCTGTCAAATTTTGGTATAAACTCTGGAATTCTCAGAGTTGCTTGGATGATAATCATTTTTAGGTGTTCAATACCTCTGTTATTCACAACAGTCCAAACATCAATAACACGAACGACAAGACACCCATGTTTCTTTGCAATCACTTATATCTTTGACAAAGTCATATTTTCAAGCCATTAACTGAAGGAACAAATATTGACACAATAAAGTGATTAATTTGATAAACAAATACTCCTTTTAACATACTTTTCATACAAATAAAAAAAATTCACAACACATCGAATCAGTAAACAATATTTCAGTTCCAAACAGTTGTCTCCATAAAATGATAGTCCTAAAAAATCTGAAAAAATAAAATCTAGAAAAATCTGAATCTATTTACATAACATCCGTTATTGATCAACAACATAAAATAAGAAAATTTACAGAAGTAGCTAATTTAAAGAAATAACTAATGTTGAGATTCGTTGTTGCCAATTCGTTGGTGCAAATTAAGGAATCAGAGCATAACAATGTCGAATAAACATTTCAGAAACAATTACCTTAGGGTTGAAAACATGGAATACTGATACAAAATATCCAGTTTAATAATAAGTTAGTTTTGGTATCCTTGAGTGATAATCATTGAATTGTATTTGTAGAGTCCCATGTTTAATGATATGTGGTGCCTTGTAAACCTAAAAATTAAATTTTCCAAAATCGTGGAACAAAAAACGATACCTATGGGAACAATGAAATTAAATTTGGAAATCTAAAAAGGAATGGTTTGTATACCTTCAATGTATTGAAACCTTCAAAATGCAACGCAGTAATTAGAGTTAAGTTAAGTAGTGTAAACTATTAAAATAAAAATAATTGTAAAATACTAACAAATAATATGAGAGTGCCACGTAAGTGACAATTAATACCAAATCAATATTAAGAGAGTATAGTTTGATAAGACAATTTTAACCCTTTAATTAGTGTTAATTAAATTTGGAATCAATTGGATTATTGTATAATTTATCAGTACTTTAAAGTTTATATATTTATATTAGATTTTCAAGTTTAAAGTTTATATATTTATATTAGATTTTCAAGCGTGAATCCAAATTTAAATTTAAGTCGTTGAGAAGCTAATATTTTGAGACCCTAAACCCATTCGAAATTGAGATCTCATCTATATAAATTGCATCTACTTCCTTTTCCATTCCATTTTTTCTTATTAACTTAATGCTTATTTTTATAAAACGAAAAAATGTTATTTATATTTAACTTTTAACTGATATGGTAACTGAAAATATTAGCACATTTTTATACCAAAAAATGTTACAAATATTTGTTTTTATTAAAAAAAGAGAGAATTATGATTGATGAATATAAGAGTGTAAGCAGATCAGAAAAATCAATTAAACTAACAATTCAAATCAAATCAAACCAAAATAAAATTACGCTCAAAATCGAAGAACCAAATTAATGGATAAAATTACACTTAAAATCTTTTATTCTATCTATCATTAAGCCCACATTTCATATCAGTCCAAGCATTAACCATTTTTATTTATACTTCATTCCTTTCAGCAAAAGACACATTTATAACCAAACTTCAAAACATACAAAGTAAAAATCATAAGTCATAAAATTTTTCTTTCAGTGAACTGATGCTCTTGCTATTCACCATAATTGTTGCTTTATATACCTTCATTCTGATATGTTATGATCGTCTTCTTCATGTTCAAGTTCTATTCGTTAATTTTCATATTTTATTTTTACCTTTTGTTTCTTCTTCTTCAAAACCACTTCTATAAAACTTAATTCAATCTATTAAGTATGATTTCTTCTATATTTTTCTAAATAAAGAAATATCCTATACTTAATGAAAAATGATATAAATATTTGTTCTACTAAAAATGATACAAAAATTAACTCAATACTATTTATAATAATTTTGTGTGACCCGTGTGAACGCACTATAGATGATTATTTAATTATTTTATTTATTTTTTATATTAAAATATACATTTTCGACGGGTCGAGACAATTTAATTTGTATATCTTTTATATATATTTTTTAATCATCAATATACTATTTTTATAAACGAGAATAAATTACAAATATTTTTCTACACGATAAAAAGTCAACTCTTGATGCAAATATTTTCATAAATCAGAATAAGTTACAAATATTTATATAAACTAAAAAAGTTTATTGTTGATACATTTTTTTTTATAAACGATAAAATAAACACACGAGTTCTAAAACCTTGTCTCACCATACAAAACCAAGGGTGCAGGGCAGGGCTGACACACATACATTGCTTCTTTTATGAACGAGAAAAAGTAAATTATTCATACAATCATGTCTCTATGTGAAATATACTACACTACATATTCATATATTTTTCAAGATAATTTAAACGTATATCTTAACACTTACTCCATTTAGATAAATTGAATTAATATTTATATGACAATTATCAGTAAATTTTTTTTTCTTTTTTATTTTATATATATTTTTATATATATATTTCTCAACTATAATTATTTAATATTTATATTGATTTTGCGCGATCCATGTGAATGCATAAATTCTTTATTAATTTTAAATAAAAATAAGAATTTAATTAGAATACATATAAAGAAATTTTACACCGTAACTGAATCACGACCGTTAAGTTATAAATTATATTTTATTTTTATTTTAATTATTTATTAAATAGTATTAGTAATCGATTGTGATGTGCTGAAGGTATATACTGACGGTGTAGTGTAATTAATTTATAAAAATAATAGTGATTACATGTTGTTTATTATTCTAATTAAACAAATTGTTTTAGTGTGCATTTAGTAAAATCCTCCCTTCTTCCTGTAAGAATAATAGTCACGAAAGGAGGCACAAGTTTTTTCATTCGATTCATTTTCCTAGAATCAAAACGGCGTAAAAACCAAATCAAATCACACCGAACCTACTGATCTGAGAGAGAGAGAACAACTTCGCGATGAGTTTCCAACGCGCAACCAAACTGTTCTCATCCATCGCATCGCGCCGCCAACACCTCCGAAACCTTTCCTCAACGCCGTCGTCACCGGCGGTGTTCGTCGACAAGAGCACACGCGTGATCTGTCAAGGAATCACCGGAAAGAATGGAACGTTTCACACTGAGCAAGCAATCGAGTACGGAACGAATATGGTTGGTGGTGTTACTCCGAAGAAAGGCGGAACCGAACATTTAGGGCTTCCGGTTTTCAATTCCGTTGCGGAAGCGAAAGCTGAGACTAAAGCTAATGCTTCTGTTATTTATGTTCCTCCTCCTTTTGCTGCTGCTGCGATTTTGGAAGCGTTGGAAGCTGAGTTGGATCTTGTTGTTTGCATCACGGAAGGGATTCCTCAGCATGATATGGTAGCTATGTTACTCATTTCGAGATTATTTATTTATTTATTTATTCATTCATTCATTTTGCACTGTGAATTGTTTTTGTTGTTGTTTTTATAATTATTTTGTGTTGATCGATCTAGTGTATAGATGGTTAGGGTGACCTTAAGTGCATGTTGCTCTGTTACTCGATTTGAGTTATTTTGAATTGGTTTTATTTGCTGTTGTTATAGTTGTTGTGTTGATTAATGTGTGTTGATTGATCTAGTGTAAGAAAGGGTTAGGGTGACCTAAATTGCATTTTGTGATATGAAGCACAAACACCTTACTCGACTCTCACACAGAGACACCGATAATAGTTTGTGAAAATGAGTGATTGAATGTAATTGCATGAGGCCAATTATTATATGTTGTTGTTGTTGTTGTTGTTGTTGTTGTTGCTGTTATTATTAGTTTAGGTTAATATGTGTTGATTGATCTCGTAAAAGAAAGGGTTACGGTGCTTGGCACATAGACACCAATAATAATTTGAGGAAATGAAAGGGATTGAATGCTACTACGTACGTCAGTATTATTTTAGTTATCGATATGTGTAAGACACTGACATGATGCGTCAGACATCAGACACATCTTTGATCTAAAGTGTAAGTTTCAGATAGATTTTATTGTGGTGGCATAATTGCAATAATGAATTAGGGTGGGCTGAAGTGTTTTGTTTTACTCAATTGTATGTGTCAGTCGTATATATTCTGTGAAATGTGTAATGAGATTAAATTAAAGGTTTTTGTTTGTGATTTGAATTTATGTTTTCGAGTTTAATGATGGTATAGTGACAATTTAACTAGATATTCCATCTTATTTAATTTATCAAAGTGTGAAAATGTTCTAAAATGTAATGGTCCGGTGTGATAAATCCCAAATCATAATAAGATGACTGCAAAATTGTTTAAAATTTAAAATTTCAATGTATATAGCTTTAAAAACATGCGTTTTTTTGGTTTTATATTTTTTGGTTTGGTAATGGTCTGGTTGTCTGTTCGTGGAAGACTGGGATTAAATTGCTCATATGCGAGCCTTTTTGATTTGTTTAGACATTCAAATTTCAATGTATATACCTACAAAGGGCATGCATTTTTTGGTTCTATATTTTTTGGTTTGGTATTGGTATGTTTGTCTACTCCTTGAAAACTGGGATTAGATTGCTCGTGTGACCCTTTGATTTGTTTATGTCTTTTGATATAATTGTTCAATAGTGTAATGTATTTTTTCATGTTGCATTACATTTGAATTCAGGTATGTGATTAATGTAATTCAAGCCAGTTGATGCATCTATGTAATTCATTTTTGGTCTTCTGCTTGTATCAATCATGTGGCTGAAGTTAAGACTATTTTTTATGTCAGGTACGAGTTAAAGCAGCAATTAACAGACAGTCCAAAACTCGTTTGATTGGACCAAACTGCCCTGGTATCATCAAGCCTGGGGAATGTAAAATTGGAATCATGCCTGGTTACATCCACAAACCTGGGCGCATTGGAATTGTTTCTCGTTCTGGCACTTTGACATATGAAGCAGTGAGTCCTTGTTTTTGATGTTGGGAAGACTGTATGAGACATTGCCTTCTATCATGTGTGTGTTGATAAGATTTATTTGTTCCCTGGTCCGTCTCTTCATTGGTTATGATGCCTTGTTGTCAAGGATAATATTGACACAATCATATTGTACTGGAGTTGGTTTTATCTGTGCTAAGCCACTTTTCTTACACGGATTTGTGATCAATTTACTGTCATTTTATGCTTTAAAAAAACTCAAATTTCATCCATCTATTTAAATTTATTTGCAGCTTTCAAATTAGAGACAACTTATTCATGTCTTTTATTGAATAACAGGCTTATCTTGGGAGCTATTACGATTTGAGATTTTATGAAGTTATTTTGATGTATACATTATGTTGGTTACCCATGGATAAACCTTGTATTTGTTTGTAACCATTCAGGTTTTCCAAACAACTGCTGTTGGCCTTGGACAATCCACTTGTGTGGGTATAGGAGGAGATCCCTTCAATGGAACAAACTTTGTTGATTGCCTAACAAAGTTCCTAGCGGATCCTCAGACAGAAGGTACTTGGTCACTTTTTGTTGTGTTGTGTCATGTATATGTATACACATGACACATACCGTAATAGTTTATCCACAAACTCATGTCGAAATCTTCTCTGCATAGTTTCTTTTCCTGATGAATTATTCCTGCAGGAGTTAATGGGATGGTTGGTTCTCATTACTAATGTCTGTTTGTGTAATCAGGTATCGTTCTCATAGGAGAGATAGGAGGAACTGCAGAAGAGGATGCTGCTGCACTGATTAAGGTTCGTCTTGATTTTTAGCTGTCCATTGTCTAACACGTTTCTATTATTATAACTCTGGGGAGGGACTTAAATTAAATAGAAAATGGATATAAAACTCTCATCAAACCGAGAAAAGATAGAGGGAAAATGTTTAGCAAATAAAGAAAATCATCATTCATGTTTCTCTTTCTTTATTGCCTCACATCTTCTCAGAGTTCAAATCCTCATTTCCTCTCTCTCTGCCAACTGTCCGTTCTGCTAAGTCCATCTCTTCTCTTCCTCTAATTGACTCCACCTCTCTCTCATTCCCTCAATTCCATCCTTACCCTCCACACCTACTTGTCTCCTTTTATAGAATGCAATTTCTCCTAGATCAATCTTAATTCAACTTAACACCTAATTGTAAATTGCTTCCTTTTATTCTGTTCTGATAACTTTTTTTTTTTACTTAAGAGTTTAGATCAATTGATCTCGTTTTAAACCTCTGCTCTCCATAATGCTCATTAATGGTAATCAGTTGTTGTAGTGACTTGTTAAGGGGCCCTTTCGTCTTGGGTTTGGTTGTAGGGGGGTTAGGAGAATGCAAAGGGCTGTTTAATATGAATGGTTATATACATGTGAATCTTCTTTTGGTGAATAAAAGTTAAATTTCAGTTCATTAGGTTAGGTGTTGTTATCTGGCGAATGGTGCTATTTATTTGTACTGGATCTATTTTTGTCTATACGAATGGAAAAAAAAAAAAATCACATGCAATGGTATATCATTTTGTCTTTTCATAAGATTGAGTTTTTAACAGATTTTGTGAATGACTTTGCAGGAAAGCGGGACTGAGAAGCCCATCGTTGCATTTATGGCTGGATTAACTGCTCCCCCTGGCCGTCGTATGGGTCATGCTGGAGGTACATTTTTGTTCTCTTATCCTCGAATAGAAAATTCACTTCATTGTGTTGCTGAACTTGACATAAAAAATTTGGTCTTGATTGGAAGATTGCATATAAATCTATGTTTAGATAGCCTTTTATATAAATATCCTAGTTATATGTGCTTTTCCAATTAGAGCTCGTTTTTCGGAGTTTATAAATTGTTTTTACAATTAATGAGGATATCGGGAGCAAATTTTATATAAGCTCCATACAAGCTTTTTATTTATAAAGCTATTCAGTGAGTGAAACAATTTATGGGGATATTATAAACTATTTTTTCAAACCTCTTCTAAACACTTGTAATTATTTTATAAGATAAGTCTAATTCTAAACAAGCCTTTTCAAATTACACTAATTGGCGCAACCTTGATTTGTTTGTGCAGCTATTGTGTCGGGTGGCAAGGGTACTGCTCAAGACAAAATCAGCATTCTTAGGGATGCTGGAGTCACAGTTGTGGAGTCCCCCTGCTAAAATTGGAAACTGCCATGTTTGAAATTTTCAAGCAGAAGGGGTTGGTGCAATAGTTTGGCTTAATTTATTTTCATTAAGTCACTTTGATTTTGAATTGACTACATGGTCAAAAATACTTGATTCCCATTGATAATAATGGGATAATTTTTTCCTATTTTATTTTTCAAAAATACGAGGAGGGCGCCTTAGAATAAAATAATTCAAGATGCTTTTTATATTTTCGGAATATTGATACATTGTCAAATTGAGTTCCAGCTTTTGTGGCGCTGGTTTGTAAACACATGTAGTTAGTTTTCAATGAATTTCCATCTACTTCAGTTTGTAGTGTCTGCTAAGTTGGATAGTCAGTTATGTGATCCTAAATGTGTCGTCCTATATGGTTTCTGGCAATAATTAGGCAATTTCTTTTCCCATCTTTATACTGTGGGACACATCTCTGAGAATCTCAAAAACTACCATTGATTTTTTCAGAGATACATCCTCGAACGTACAAAATCTGGTGTTTTGCCAAAATTTAGTTTAGAGATGCAATTAATGAATTTTTTCAAGGTAAATTCGTAGATATATCTTCTACACCTTTCTTTCTTCGTAAATAAAGAAGGTCCACTTTATTTTTTGAAAAAAATAGTTTGGAGATGTTTTTGTTGATATTTCTGGGTAAATTTGAAAATGCATCTCCGAAATTTTCCCTGCAGTTTTTTTGTGCAAAAACATTATTCTAAAATTTGTAGTTTTTTGGATCCAAAATCATTTTAATTTGATCAATATTATGCAAAAATTTTGTCCTAAGTTTGTAGTTTTTTTTGGATCTAAGTCATTTTAATTTGATCAATATTACCATTATTTTGATTCAAAGATTAATAAGCACAAATATCATAGTACATAGTAATGTGATAATTAAAAAAATAGATAATCATAGACAAAAATTATTTTTCAAAGTATGGAAAAAATACCAAAACATTTTAAAATACAATCAAATGCATAATCTATTGAGTATGTTTAATCCTTATCCTCTGGCTCCTCTTCTGTTGACAATAACTCAAAACATTTTGTGCCCCCGGTTAGAATGAAATATGTTAGGACAATCGCGTCATCGCCATCTCTTATGAATAGTCCAAACTGTATGTCCTCACAAGTAATTCATATAATATTTTGACATATGACTATGAGTAACACATTAATGACATGGTTATCTCGAGCATGTTCATTTTTCATGATCTCCTCATGAACAGACTTAGGTGGACGTTCAAGAGCGTTAGGTGTCATGAGAGGGTGTGACACGTAATAGAACTAAGTCATGTAACCCCATCATAATGCCACTGAGATGTGGCTTGTACCCTCTAATATTTCTTCAGTATCATATGACTCTCAAAATTCACCAGAATGTCATCTAGATGTATGTGGATAATGCTCTAAGGAAGCATCCTCGAAGGGGACCTTGAAATAATCTGCACACACTCAAACTGTCGCATGCATTGCTCTGACAATTACCTGCACATGATACTACTCCACATGCCATCCATATGAAGTATAATGAAATATGGTCGAATGAAATTCTCTTTCGGTGAGAAGTTTATGGTATTCAGTCCGATGTCATACCGAGTCCGGTCAATATACACATGAAAACGGTACCACATCATCATGTTAGACGAAGACAACTTATCTAGAGAGGGGTGGGGGGGGGGGGGGGGGGGGGTTTGAATAGATCTCACAATTTTCTTAAAAATAGTTTTTTAAAGTGTTAACTATTGACAACAGAAAATAATCCTGGAACAAAATGTTGTCTAATCCGAACCGCTATTGGAAAATACAGATATGCGTAAAACCAAGATGAGATGCAATAAAAATGATAAGTCACTTAGTCAATATATTTTCACAATAGCTCGTTTGAATATAATCGAAAGGCAATATAACAACCAATGTTCAGAAAATTATCGAATACTTGATGCGTAATCGATTTTTCAAATTTTTCTTTTGGTTTTGTTGATATGACAAACCAATTACAATCTTATGGATTGTAATTTAATCAACAAAATACTTTCAAATTTAATAAACAAAAGATTTTTCTATACGTATCGATTGCATAATCAACGAATTTAACAATTTGAGAGGAGAGAGAGAGAGAGAGAGAAGAGAGAGAGAGAGAGAGAGAGAGAGAGAGAGAGAGGAGAGAGAGAGAGAGAGAGAGAGAGAGAGAGAGAGAGAGAGAGAGAGAGAGAGAGAGAGAGAGAGAGAGAGAGAGAGAGAGAGAGAGAGAGAGAGAGAGAGAGAGAGAGAGAGAGAGAGAGAGAGAGAGAGAGAGAGAGAGAGAGAGAGAGAGAGAGAGAGAAGAGAGAGAGAGAGAGAGAGAGAGATAGAGAGAGAGAGAGAGAGAGAGAGAGAGAGAGAGAGAGAGAGAGAGAGAGAGAGAGAGAGAGAGAGAGAGAGAGAGAGAGAGAGAGAGAGAGAGAGAGAGAGACTCCTCGTTATAGTTACGTCCTGCCACCAATTCCGTTCAAAATTGAGATAATCAATATTACTTTGCAAAAATTAGAAAACAATTAGAAAAGATCATGAATGAGTGAAAACATGGTGGCATTTTGACAACCATTAGAAAAACACCTTTAGAACCTAAAAAGCTTTTAAATTTTTATTTTTCAATAGTCTGACCTTTCTTGTAACAATAGAGACAAGTCAAATTTTGAACATATTTGCTTTTGCTATTTGGATCCCTTTAACTAAACTATACTTTTTATATGGTTTATTCAAATACTTTTTAAGCTTTTGAGGATCAATAGGAAATGTAACATTTGGTTGTAAT